CCCCGGCCGCCGAGGTGGCCGCTGCCCCTCTGTCCCGAGACCGCCGTGAGCGTCAGGTGACAGGACGGCTGAGGCATTTGGCCCAAAGCCCAGGGCAACGAAATGGGAGCCGTTGTTAGTTCGCATGTGCCCCTCGGAGGCGCCATCGAACCCAGAGTTGGCTTCGTCTGGGGTCTCTGAGCCCGTACCCCAACGCTTTGTGGGCGCCCGGTGTCTCGGAGGAGGCACCGAGTCCCCTGGGAGAGCCGGCCTCTGAGTTGGGGGCTAACACAGCTGGGTCCTGAGTCCCTCCGAGCCCCGGAAGTCCCCTGGCACCTTCCTCATCCCTTCTCCGAGGACCCCGACACAGCCTCCCAGAAGGCTCTGCGCCCGCAGGGGGTTAACAGCAAACCAGGTGGGCTTGGCCAAAGCCCGGGACGCAGCCATCGGGCAAGATGGCGAATCGTAGTCGACGCAGGGGGGGGGGGGCGGTGGACAGGGGTGGAGGTCGAGCGCTGCCTGCCCCCTGCCTGCCCCGTGGGTCCGGGTAGCCCAGGAGGCCGGAACCCAAGGGGCTTCTGTGTGTCTTCGACAGGCAGGTAGTCCTGGAAGGAACGCGGGCCCCTGGCCTCTTCGCATTGGTCAGAGCCAGGCCCACGGCCACCGCTGTTGTCAGAGTGAGGACAGACCGGCCTGCCTAGAGCCAGAAGGCAGAGCGCGGAAATATTTGGTGTCCAGCACTAATGACCGCTCCGCCAGCCAAGTGACCTCTGAGCCCGTTTCCTCCTCTGCAAACAGGGGACGAGGGCAGCCGGCATCTCAGGGACTGTGCCGAGGGTTAAATGAGGGGACCTGGGTAACACCCTTGGGCCAGAGTCGTGCACGAGGAAATTCAGACGCCCCTGCGACAGGCCTCCGTGTGTGCCCAGCGCGGGTCAGCAGGCCGGGCCCCTTCCTGCCTCCGCAGACACTCGCCCTGGCGCCCGGGCCCGCCCCGAGGGGCCAGCGGACGCCGGCCGCTCCCTGTGCATGGGCCTCCGCCCACTTCCCTGGATCGACGACCCCTCGGGCCAGGCAGCCTCATCCACACTCGTCTCTGAGGCTTTCCACCCTCCAGGGGACTGCGCTGTGACAAAGCCACCCTGCTGTCGCCAGAGGACAGGGCAGCACGGAGGAGGGGACGGAAGGTCCGTGGAACGTGAAGGAGGCTCACGTCTGTGTTGCGCTGAGCTCCGGGCTGAGTGCCTGGCCTGGTGGCCTCACGCCCACCTCCCAACCGCCCCGCGATGACGCGAGCGTGGTTATCTTCTCGCAGGGGCCAGGGGCCAGCATGTGGGGCGGTCCCGTGACCTGCCCCCGTCACGCGCAGGGCAGTGGCGGCGTGGAATTCGCACCCGGGTGTCTGTGACTCGCACCGCCGCCGCCCGGCTTCCGGGCTGTCTCTCCTTCTCACGCACTGAGTTAACCTTTACCCGGGCCGTGAACGCGCCCACAGCCCGGCCCTCGATGTGTACCTTTGGGCCCTGCCGTGCCTCTGGGGAGCTGCTCGGCTCCGGGAGCCTGGGGCCCCCGCCTCCGTCCCCGCTCAGCCCCTAGACTGCTGTGCAACCTTGGGCAAGTCCCTCTCCCTCTCTGGGCCTCAGGTTCTCCACCTGGCCCTGGGCCGTGGCACAGCCACTGCAGGGGAGAGCGGAGGGAGAGCGGAGGGAGAGCCATGGGGGAGGTTCTGTGGAGAGCAGCGAAACCCTCAGCAACATTCGAAACCAAAAATAGTTGCTTTTTTAAAGACCAGTTGGGGGGTTTGTAATCCACTGCAGTTCTCTGTCTCCCTGGCTATTTATAACAAATTCTGGTTTCCTCTACAGCTAAGCCTTTTTCCGTTGCCACGGGGAAGCCGGGCTGAGCCCGCGCTCGAGCTGAGATCTGAGTCTGCGCCCCTGCAGCCCCTCTCCGGGTCCTGCCGGCAGGTAGACCTGGGCCCCGTCCCCAGCTGGGCGCTGAGGGGAGCGGTCAGCCCGCTGCGGCAGGCCTCCCGCAGAACGAAGCCAGCCGTCGGGGCGCGGCTGGGGGTCAGAACTGGAGGCCAGTCGCTGGCCTGCCCACCCAGAATGTGAGGTCAAGCTCAGGTAGCCTCAGCCACACTGACGCCTCGCGCCAGCCCTACAGAGACGAAGGGGAACAGAACTCAAGGTCGGGCCGCCCCCGGGGGCACCTCCAGGGCCTAAGGGTATGGCCTGTGTGTTGATTTGTCCCTGTAGGGCTGTGGCAGAGGACCTGAGCCAGATGGCTCCCCAAGTCACTGCAGAGCCCTTTAACTGCCGTAGCGTGGGAGCTTCCTGCCTCGGAGAGACCCCCACGCCCAGCCAGGCTCCCCCAGCTGCCCAGCTGCCCAGACGCCCACGGCTCCAGAAAGACAGGCTGGCGAGCCCTGGGGGAAGGGCCTCCGCTCAGGGCGGGAATGGGGGGGTGCAAACCCCACCCAGTTAGGGACTCAGGGCCAAACACAGGGTAGTGCGTGAGCGTGTGTGCATGCAAATATGTCCGTGTGCCAGTAGTACATGGGAGTGTGCACGCGTGGGAATGTGAGAGTGTGCCTGTGAGTGGGAGTCCGTGCGTACGTGAGTGCGTGTGTTTCTGTCCGGCCGAGGAAAGGGCTGGGGAGGCTGGGGGGCACAGGCGGCAGGTCAGGAGAAACTGCAGGTCTGGGGGGGCAGGACAGGAGGGAGCCAGCCGGAGAGGCGGCAGTGGCGGGGCGGCCGCTGGACAGAGGCCGCAGGGCTGGGCGCAGGGTCCCCATGACCGGGCTGACGGGACTCTCCTCCAGCTGCTGAGCTGCGCTTGAGCCTCTTTCCTGCCTCTGGGGCTCTGTCTGACCTCCTCGCCCAGTTACTGCCTCCCCTCTGGCTGCGGTGCCCAGCAGTCAGGGTCCGGGCCTCCAGCCGCCCTGCGGCTTCCCCAAGGCCCAGGAGTCCCTGCGGAGGGGCTGGCGTGGCGACCGGGGACCCTGGCCTCCAAGAGGCTGTGCTGCCAGCTCCTGGGTCCCGGCTCTGACCCCCTTGGCCCGGGAGGACGGGCGGGGCGGTGGCTCTGCCGTTTCCCAGCAGCGAGGCTGCGAGTCAGAAGGGTCACCACCCCTCGGCAGGCAGGGGGCTTCCGGAAGGCAGGAGACCGGCGTTGGGGCCAAAAGAGGTCCCGGGGAAGGCGGCCGGCCCGCCCGGGGCACCTCCGCAAGACGCGGCCCCCGCAGGGCTGCCCCTGGAGCGGACCCCGGGGCCGCTGCTGCGAGGTGCCCCTGCAGAGTCTGGAACCGGCCCAGGGTCGAGGCCCTGGGTCTGCTGCTTCTGTGGGGGGCGCGACCCGGCTTCCCTTCTGCAAAACCGAACAACAGCCATGAAGCCTCCCTCACAGGGTCGTGAGAGTGGAGCGAGAACGCGCCTTGTTCGTGCGGCCGGTCCCTACACTGGCCTCCGCCTCACCCCTCATTTTGGCTGACGGAGGGGACAGGGTGCCCCGGATCTGACTCAACCTTCTGCTGCTCCCCCCGACCCCCGACCCCTGGCCTGGGAGGCGGGGCCTCCTAGCTCCAGAGCTTCCCGTAGGTTCCAGGGACAACACCGGGAGCAGGTCCTGCCCGGCCTCTGGCCTCCGGCCTCCCCTCCACCCTGCTGGGGGCGCTCTTGCTTTCCTTCAGGGAGGCAGGGCGGTGACTCGCCCTGGAAATTGTCTTCGTTTTTGGTTTATGGGGGAGTCTGGGCTACTGGCGGGGGCAGGGGTCTGCGGCATGGCCGGGGGCAGGAGGGGGGGCAGGAGGGGGGAGCAGGGGCACCCTCAGGCGCCCGCCCGTGCAGAGATCGCTGGCCTGGCGGCCCCATCCTAAGGCGCTGCCGGAGGCCGGAGCCAGGCGCCCCTCCTCCCCTCCGCCCCAGCGCTCCCTGCACATCTGGAGCTGCAGCTGGGACCACGGCTGGTCCCGTTCCAGGGAAGGGAGCCGGCTGAAGTGGCCGGCGTGTGAATGGCCCCAATGTTGGGTACCGGGAGGCAGAGAGAAGATGCCCGGGCGCAGCGGGAGGGGATGCTGACTGCTCGCAGCTCTTGTCTCCTCCTCCGGCGCTGTCCTGGGTTTAAAGTCCCCGGGGCTGCCCTTGTCCTTTGTGCCTGCAGAAGGGCAGCTGCGCTCTGCCCCTCCCCCACCCACCTCGTCTCCCAGCCCCTACCCAGGTGCGGCCGCCCTTGACTGCCCCCTTTGTTCCCTCTTGTGCCCAGGGCAGCTCGGGCCCCTCCCGCACGAGTCCTCGGCCCGCCCCCCAGACCCCAACAAGCGGAGGGAGAGCCCGGCCCAGCGGGGGCCCCATGGGTCGCAAAGGCCTGGCCGAGGGGCAGGGCGCCTGGCCAGCCATGAACTGAAAGACGAGCTTTTCGATGCCGCAGGGTCGAAGTGGAGGGCGCCTTAAACACTGGCCAGAGCCTCCTTCAGTGAAGAAGGGCCGGAGTCCCCGGAACAACAGGGGACTTTCCGGGGGCTTTCACATCCCGGGGGTGGGGGGGGCCGGGTAGTGGCCAGGCGTGCTGGGAAGTGGAGCTCCCGGCCGGGAGATCTGGGCTCTTACCCACGCTTGGCCACTAACTCGCTGTGACCTTGGGTAGTCCCCTCTCTGGGTCCCCGCCTCCCCATTTATGAAACCAGGGTCCCCTCCGGGCCGACGCTCCCCTGCGGCCCGAGCCCGCTACTTCTGCCAGCCCCCAGCACGCGGGCGGCCGCGCGCCAAGAAGTCCTTTTAAAGGCTCCAGCCCCGCCCCTGCTGACGGCTCAGGCCTTCGATTGGCCATCCTGGCTGGGGGCGGGGCCGGGGCCCGGAGTGTGGGGCGGGGCCTGGGCCGGCCCGGCCCCCGCCCCCTTTGTCCGCCCGACTGTGCGCGCGGGTGGCAGCGAGGTGGGCGGTGCGCGCGGGCGGGAGGTGTGTGCGGCGGTACCGCGCCGTGTCCCCTGCGGAGCCCGCTCTGGCCGCTGCCGCCGCCTGGGGCAGTGGTCCCCGGATCCTCGCCCCGATCCACGTTCCAGACCCCGGCGCCCGAGGGCCATGGCCGGCCAAGGGGACTGCTGCGTCAAGGTGGCCGTCAGGTAGGGGACGGCGGGCGCAAGGGGCGCGGGCTTTTGTGTCGCGTGGGCACGGGGCCACCGGGTCCGGAGCCCGCACTCCCGGAGGAGGGGCCGCCTTGGCCCGCGGGCTGTTGGAAGGTGGCTTTGTTTGGGTGGTAATTTCGGGCCCCTCTTGGGAGCCCTTAATAATCAGAAAATCGAATAAACAAGGAAATCCGGTATTTCACACCCAGCCCTGGGCCCGGCTGAGCGTCTGTGTGTTTCCTCTTCGCCTCCCCACGGGGCTGCTGTCTCATACCGGGATGCTGGGGGGAAATGTCCCCTCTTCTGCCCTGGCGCGCTGGTTCTGCCCCTGGGTCCCGCCTGGCAGGCAACACCCCCGCCCGGGAGCCTGCAGACAAAGATCAGCGCAGGGCTAGGATGGTCCCTGCTCCGTGGGGAGGCAGAAGACCCTGCGGGCTCTGTCCCCGGTGGAGAGGGGGCCTGAGGACAGAGAAAGGGAGGTCCCTGGGGCTCCACCGCGAGAGGCCGGAGGGTGTGCCCCGTGCACCATGCTCGGGCACTCAGATAAGGTGGATCGGGGAGGGCTGCATGGCTCTGGGGTTTGAAGCGATGCCCTGCCCTTTGAGGTGGGGCGAGGACGTGGCTGGGGCCTCCCCGGGGTGGGGCACACAGGTGCAGGTCAGGGGACACCGAGAAGGCGAGCTGAGCCACCGGTGCCCTTTGTTGGGTGGGGACCCTTCGCACCACACCCCCTGGCAGACTGCGCTTCGGGTCTGTCTCTGGGGCTGGCCCGTGGCGGGGGGGCGGGGGGGGGCGGGCTGGGGATGCCGGCCGAGCGAGGCAGGGGCGCTGGGGAGGAACGTGCGCCCCTGCCCACTCCTGTGGGCTGGGTGGGGTCCGGGTCCAAGGTGGGAATCTGATGAGACAGGTGGTCAGCGACCCACATTCCCGGAGCCCAGCAAGGTCACCTGGACAGGGTCAGAACTGACTGTGGAAAAGCGTCCCTGCTCCTGTACCGCCCTCTGCAGCCCGGGGTGGGCGGGGACTGCTCCCCAGGCTCTGGAGCCCGGGGAGGGAGACTGAGGCGCCCCAACCACACACCAGGCTGCCCCCAGGCACCCCTCGAGCACAGCTTTGCTGGCCCTGGCAGACAAAGGGGAGCCCGCAGGTGCCGGGTGGGCCGGCCGGCGGGTGGGGCCAGGCTGCTGCAGGGCCGACTTTGCAGCAGGAAGCGAGAGGTGGGGGGGGGGGTGAGAAGTGTACATGCGGTGTTGGCAGCGGCAGAGAGGGGAGAAGGAGGCAGAGGAGAGGCCCCCACCCAGCGGGCACCAGGGCGGGGGAGGGTGGGGCGCCGGGTGCCCCGCCGTGGGCGCTGTCTCTTAGACTCCATCTTGCAGGAGAGAGCCGAACAAAGCCCCCCTCCCCGCAGCAGCGTCCCCGGGCTAGGCCGGGGCACGGCCAGGGGCAGGAAAGCCCCTGCACAGGGGCACTTAGTGCGGAGGAGTGAGGGCTAGCCGGGGTTCCTCCCCACCCCCCACCAGAGGTCCCTGGGACGCTGTCCACAGAAAGGGGACGGGGCCTGCCCACTGCGCCCCGCGCTCCAGGGCGGCAGGCCTCACCCCTGCCTCCTCCTCACATGGGGCACTGGGTACCCCACTCCTGGCCTGAGCTGCTGATCTGGGGAGCAGTGGTTTGAGCCTCCGAAGAGCCAGGCCTCAGGACTCCGGGCAGGTGGGGGCACGCCCCCCTCGCACCCCAGCCGGAGTGCCCAGCTCGGCGCCCGCCAGACCGCCACGGGCAGCCGGCCGTGGCAGGCGGTCAATGCCTGGACCGAGCGCGAGCTGAGACAAATGCCTAACCAGAGAGCCGAGGGTGGGGCTGGCTGGGGGGCAGAGGTCCCTCGTGCCTTTGGGTCCCCTTCTAGCCGCGCCCCCCCCAGGAGCCTGTTCCCCACTACAGGCTGGGTGCTGGGCTGGAGTGGAGTGGGAAGAACCCGGGTCTGGGATCGCCGAGGGCCCCCAGCGCCGGGTGCAGCCGTCTCTCCCACTTTGCGGGAGCCCTCCCTGCATCTGACTGGGGTGCTGTCTGAGCCCCCACGATTTGCTGTGGGCCCCGAGCCCAGCCCTCGGGGCTGGGAGGCCGGGAGGGAGACGGGGGACAGGCCTGGTCCGCCTGGTGGGAGTGTGTGTGTGTGTGGTGGGGCGCGGGGGGAGCGCCCAGGCGAGGGGAGAAGTGTGGGCCCAGGCTCCTGGCCCGGAGTCTCCTTGGGGCAGGACCAAACCGGGCTGTCAGCAGGTCACCGCAGGGCAGGCCTGGGCTGGGGCGGGGCCAGAGGGGGAACTCCCGGGTCCTGGGCTGTGGGAAAGGGGGGAAGGTCCTCATGGGAGCCCACCCCAGGCACCCCACCCCAAGCCTCACGGGAGCCTGGTCCCGCTGCCCCTGAACTCTTTGCACCAAGAGATCGCCAGGCCGGCCTTGCAGCTGCCTGCCCACTAACCCCCGTGCAGGACGAGGCCCTAGAGCTGGCCTCCCCGGGGGTGCAGAAGAGAGGGGAGCCTGAGCCGTCCCCTGCGCCCCCAAAGCATCGCAGGGGGCAACGAGTTGCGGGGGGCGTGGGGGGGAACGCTATGAGGAAATGCAAGCTGGCAAAATTCAAATTGGGGAAGGAAGCCAATCTTGTGACGTGTTTGTTTAAGACCCTTCCGAGCCCCCCCCACGCTGCTCCAAGCCCCCGCCCCAAGGGCGGCGCGCAGTGTGGCCCAACCCTTATCTGCACCCTTTTCCTCACGCTTCCTTCCAGGTCTGCCCGCGGGGGTAGGGGCGCCTCGGCCGGCCCCACGGCCTCCCTTGGGCACCACGGGGCGGAGCAGGGGCTGGAGAGGGGGCGAGGGTGGCACCAGCCGGGGACCCGAGGGACACGTGAGAACACAGTGGCCCTCCCCGGCTTGGGCCTTCTCGCTGCCGTATTTCCCCCGCGCCCGCTGCTGGGAAAACTTCAGGGTCCGTCTGCATTTTGCATCAAGAGAATCGGTGACTTGGGGCACAGAGGCCGAAGGGGACAAGAACCCATTTGCACGGGCGGGGGCGGGGAGCCCCAGGCCAGTCAGGGCCCCCTGCTGGGGACGGTGTCATCACGGGAAGTGGCCTGGAGTTACCACAGGCCCCGGAAGCCGCGTCCCCTCCCCCGCCTGATTGGAGCTCAGCTTCTCAAACCCTCGGGGCCGTGGGGCGGGGCCAGGGCCAGCGGCACCCACACTCTTAACAGCTCTGGGGGCAAAGGGCGGGGCGGGCCACGGTCCCATTCGTCCTTCTGGGCCTCGGCCTCACCCCCCGCAGAACGAGGGTGCCCAGGGGACCCCTCGGCAGTCAGTAGGAGGAAAGCGAGGTGTGCCTGGGAGGTGTGGCCATGGTGTCCGCCGTACTGACCGCTCCCCGAAACGCTGGGCTCCCCCCGCCCCAGCCGAGAATGGATTGATCGCAGGAAGCCGCCGAGAGGGAAGGGACTCGGCACCTCAGGCGGCTAAGCCCCGTTATTTCTAGAACCTTCCTCTGCGCCGGGCGTGGTGCCCACGTCACCCCAGCGGAGCCCCGGGAGGTGCCCGAGGTCATTCCTGTTGCGAAGGGGGAGCCGATGTTCAGTCCGGGGCACAGTCCCTCCCAGATGCACCCTCCTCCTGCTGCTTTCTGCTGCGGGCCTCGTGCCTCGGTCTCTCCAAATGCTTGGCCACGCACAGCCGCCGGAGTGCGCACGTGGGGCGGTGCTCAGGCGGCCGCCGGTGCCCTGCGGACAGGCGGTGAGGCCCAGTGGCCCAGGCTCTCCTTATGGAGCGGCAGGGCACGGGGCCACCTGTCCGCACCGTGGCCCCAGCTCCTAAACCCCTCCCCCCACCCATTCCCTGTATCAAGGGAGCTTTTCCTTTCCCCAGGCGACTCTACCCCCTTCCCCAAGATTGGGGACCGGGGACTGGGGGCCGGGGCCAGGACTAGGGGGTGGGGGAGAGGCCCCCTGCGCCCCCCTGCCCCATGCCGGCCACCCCTCAGGCCAGGAGCCTGTTGCTCTACATTCCTCAGCAGGAAGGTCCCCAGGGCCCGGTCCCCATGAGCTGTCCCCGCCAGAGACAGATGCCATCGCAGCCCTGTCTCCCGGGAGGTCATGGGAAACCCCTGCCAGATGCCGGGAGGGGGTGGGGCCGTGGTGACCGGAGGCTGGAGCAGAGCTGAGAGGGGTCCCTGAGCTGGGCTCGCCTGTGCGCAGGCCCAGCCACGGAGGAGTCAGCGGGGCTGCCCGTGTGGCAGGCAGGCAGGGGTCTGCCCAGGCCCCGGCTGCCGGTCCATCAGTCCCCTTGACTGGTCCGCGTCCTCTGCTCGCTTGCTTCAGCCTTTCTGGGGGCGCCCTGCGAGACAGCTGGGATCCCGGGGGCCACGGACCAGGCTGTCCCCGAGTGCCCTCCCCGGCGGACAGCCCGTCCCTGGGCATGACTTGGGGTGAACTGAAGGGGAAAGGGACCCCGCGCAGCGCCCGGGGCTTCCTGCACCCTCGCTCAGTGCTCTCGGAACGCGTTCGAGAGCAGAGCTTGGGCAAAGGGGGTTGACAGACCCCTTCCACCAGGCCGGGCAGGACCTTGCTAACCCGTGCCCTTTGACCCCCCGGCACAAAGCCTTCTTGTGTGGGGTTTAGAGCCAGCCGGTCCTTTCTCTGCAGGCAGCCCCCGCAGGGTGGGCAGGGAGGGTCTGGGAGGCCAAGAGAAGGACTTTCTGGCTCCCACGGGACCCTGTGGCTCCCCCACACTGCTCCCCGGCAGCCAGAGGGCCGGGGCCCCCTGAGGAGACCTCACCCCCCCGCCCCCTTTCAGGGGGGCTGGCCTCTGTGGGAAATGACTTTTCTGGGCCAAGTGCGCTTCAAGCCCCGGAGTCCGCGAGCCAGACTCCCCTGGGAGAGCGGGGTCCTGCTCCCGCCACCCCCAGGGCTGGCGGGCGGCCACGCAGGGCAAGCAGCCCAAGGAGGATGCTCCCCCGGCCTCAGCGGAAGCCGCCCGCCCCGCCGGCCAGGGCGCGCCTCCTCGCCCCGGTCCGTGCCCCTCCTGGCGCGGCGGCAGCCGCTGGCAGGCCGGTCCGGACACTCGCCAGCGGTCACTTGTCGGCCGCCGCCCTGCCCGCCGGGTGCGGGGTCCCTCCCTGCCGCCGTGGGTTTGCACACAGACAGGCCGGTGTCTCATCCCCACCATCGCTAGTTGTGCGGCTTCGGGCCTGTCCGAGCCTCAGTGAGGCGGGGCGTCCAGTCGCGTTCCTGGGGTTCACTTGTGTAAGCGAGCTCGGTGCAGGTCCTCAAACTGTCAGGGACACCGGTGGCTGCGATTCTGAGGAAGGAGCCGGCGGGCGGCCACGTACCCCTTCCCGGACCAGCGAGCGCTGGCAGGACGTCCTTCCTGCTGGCTTATCCGGACCCCCTGCTGTGGCCCAGCCCCCACTTTGATCTGGCGCCTCCATCGCAGCGCAGCTCATGACTCAGTGTGTCAGGCAGACGGAAGGTCATGGGGCGGCTCCGTGTCCCTGCCACGTGCGCACACGCTTGCACACACCCCTTCACAGGGGGCCTTCCACAGCTCAGCTGCAGGCTGCCAGCGGGCTGGGCGTGGGCTTGCTCTGTCCGCTCTCGGTCCTCAGGGCGGCTCACCCCGAGACAGGGCGATGGCCCTCCTCCTGGGCGGTCCCTAGACTTTGGGGCTCCCTTTCAGGATTCAGAAAGGCATCGGGGGTCCCACAGGAGAAAAGAACGGACAGGTTCTCTCCCCTGGGGTGTTTTCAAAGGGACTTGGTTATCAGGGCAGCTGAGGGGCGATTCCAGCCCAGGTCTCGAGTTCTTTTCATTGCCTTGGGGAGGGGGCCTCCCAGCCCAGAAGTCCCCAGGCGCACGTGTCTCGCAGGTGAACCGCGGCGCGCAGCGGCCCCTCCCAAACTCTCCTCCCGGAGCGGATCTCAGGGCTGGGGTTGAGGAAACGCGTCTGCCTGGAAGACCTGGTCATTCCTCAACTGTGCGGCCTGGAACCGAGTTATTTAATGTCTGTCTGAGGCCTCGTTTGTCATTTAGGGGCCAAAACACCCCCTTACACCTAAATGACCTGTGTCATGACCTACTGTGTGCCAAGCAGCCGGCACAGCGTCTGGCAAAGAGGCGGCCTTGCTCCTGAGCGGCGCGGCCGTCACCGGTCGTGCGGAAGGAGCTGAGGTGTTCGGGGCTTCAGGCGCCAGCGAAGGAAGGGTCAGGGATCACGACCACACACCACCTCTGTCCTGGCTCATTGTCGTACTGTCACAGCCTCCAGGTGACGAACGTGAGACTTCTGGGCCGCACCCTCGGGAGCCCAGGGTCAAGATTGTGGGGGCAGGTCGGTTAGAGGACAAGGGAGCAGCCCTGGCCAGGTGGCTGGGTGGGACTAATTTCACCAGAGAGGCTGAGCGACCCGCCCCCTGAGGCCAAGGTCACTGGGCGGAGCCCGGGGGACCGGGACTGGCTGTCTTTGTGTCATCACTAAGGGAGAGCTGGCCGGTCCTGGCCTCCTAGCGCGGGGCTGGGCGTGGGGCTCTGGGCGCCCTTTGCAGACGGCGTTTTTCTCCATGGCCTTTTTCTCCTTGGCTGCCTCCTGCGCCCCGGCTGTCTCCCCCCTGTCCCCTCGCCCTCCCCTCGCCGCCCGCCGCCCTGGCCTCCTGGCTCCCGGAGGCTTGGAGAACAGCTGAGCTCAGCTCTTCCCACAGCTCCGAGCGGGGGCGGGGGTGGGGGTGGGCCCTGAGTCTCGTCCCTGCAGCGCTCGTTTCTGGGGCGGCGGGGGACAGACCGGAGAATGACTAACCACAGCGCCCAGCTCCCGCTCCGCCGGGAGCAGAGGAAGCCAGTGCCCGCGCTGGTGCCAGATCCTGCCGCTGAAAAGCTCTGGCCCTTCCTCTGCGCCCCTGCCCGGCTCCCACCGTGTTCAGGCTGCCGGTGCCAAGTGGCAAATAGACCAGGCTCTGTTCTGGGAGCCTCGGGCCTTTCTGAGCAGGGCTCTGAGGCTGCCTCCCTGCAGGACCCCGAGAAGCGATGCGGCATCGGCGAGGTGGGGCGGGGCTCGCGGACGGGCAGAGAGCGAGATCCGGGCGGTCCCGGACCAAAACGAGGCCGGGCATGGGGTCCACAAAACTTGGTTGACATACGCAGGGGGCAGGCCCACGGGCCACAGTTGGCCAATGTGAGCTTTTCGGATGTCACGTGAAGTCAGAGAGTACATTGATTACGCAGTTCCCAGGCCCCTTAGACGGTGCGCTTGGGGCCAGACAGCGCCTCAGCCCCCTCGCCCCCCGGCCCTGGGTCTGGTCCTCGGCGTCCTCCATCTGTCCTGGAACAACCTGCAGACAGGTTGCGGCTCTGGGGCCCCCAGCTCGGGGCAGCCCTGGGGGCGCTTGTCGGGGGCAGGCGCCGCGTCCCCCACGAGGCAGGAAACCCTGGCGAACCGGACTTGCCCTGTGCCTCTGCCCCAGCTACCCCTCCGGGTCCCCTTCCTGGGCTGGCGCGCTCTCCCGTGTTCCAGGTCAGCTGCTTTGGGAATTAGCGCCCCACCCCCAGGCCGGGGTCCCCGCCCCCAGCCCCCCAGACAGGGCCCTTTCCTCTGGGTGACATCGCTCACCCGTCTGCATCCTGCGAAGCGCCCTGGTGCTTGGGAGGGCCCGTGTGTGGCAGGCTGGTTCTCTCCGACCGCAGAGCTCCCCGCAGACGTGGCGGGGCCCCGGGGGGGAGCCTGCGGGCCCCTCCCCTCCGGACCCCGACATCCCGGCATCCCCATGGCCTGGGGGCGATGGTGAGGACCTGCCGCCGCCCTCCCTTGTTCCCCAGGGAATCCCCAGGGACCTTGATTTGATTCCCTCCAATCGCCAGCGTTGCCGTCTGCCCGGGGTAATTAAATGGTCTTTGAATGGGATCCAGAAATCCCATCGAGAGCAGCCCGCGTGGTGGGGCGGGTGTCCTGGGAGCTGGCGCTGCCCGGCGAAGCCGCAGGGGCGCCAGAGGCTGCCTGGCCAGCCCCCGCGCACCCGGAGCGCCGGCTGCCGGGCGCGAAGTGGTAGGTCTGGGGTCCCGGAGGCGCGGGCAGGGCCGGCGGGAGGGCCAGAGCTCCGGGTCCTGCTGGGGGCCTGTGCCTGGCGCCACGGCCCCGCTCAGGTGGCCGTGGGCTCTGTCCCCTTGCACTCGGGCGTCCACCCCCACGGCACCCGCTCCCCTTGCACGGCGGGTCAGGGGCCCCGAAGAGGCCCGAACACGCGGGGCCAACCCCCTGCCCCTCCTGTGTGGCTGCCTGAGTCCCCGCACTTGCTCTGGGTCAAACGGGGGCGGCGGGGCTCGTGCCCCGTCAGCGGGCTGCCGCTGTGCACCGTGCACGAGGGAGCATTTGCTGGCCTTGGCGTCTGCCTGGCTGGTCCGGTGTCTGGTCTGTGAGCAGAAGCCACTGCAGGGGGACCCTGGGAAGCTGGGTTCTAGCTTCAGCCGGCCCGGAACCGCCGGGCGGGGTGCTGGGGGCCCTGACCCGAGAGGACCCATTCTCACCGAGGGGAGGGGCTTCTTCAGAACGCCCAGCCACCTTCTGGGGGAGAGCGGGCCTGGAGGGCCTGCCACCCCGACCCCCCCAGGGCTGCCCCCTCCCCTGTCCTCCCAGCATGTGCCAGGGGGCAGGCGCGGCTGAGCTCGGCATGGCCGCAGCCCCACGTGGGGCCGGGGCAGAGGCTGGGCAGCCCGGGGCAGGGGCGGGATAGCGGGAGGCCCTGCCTCTGTGGCCGGGCGCCCCGGGCCCCCGGCGGGTCTCGCTCTGTTCTTCTCGGGGTAAGCGTGGCTTAGGGAGCCGGGGCCGGACAAGCGGCGCCTTGTGAGCACCGCTGACAGGAGGGGCTGGCTCCTGTGGGCCCAGGGGCGTCAGCGCCAACCCATCCCCCTTTACTGTAGGCATTTGAGAGGTGCTTTCTGCGATCCCCGCACATGCTCACTGACTCACCTCTGGTTGCCATGGCGACATCGTCATGGCAATGGCTGCTTGGAAGACAGGGGAAGCCAGGCTGGATGGAGACAGTCTTGTCCACGGCCGGCGCCCCCTTCAGTCCTGATGCCGCTTTCTCCCTTTCTCCAGGGGAGCCCTCCCCCCCACCGCCGGGGTCTGCGGTGTGGGCCCCTCCTGCAGGCGGCCTGGTGTCCCTTCTAGGGGTCCCTGCCCTCCTCAGAGAGCGCGGCCTGCACCTGGTCCCGCAGGGCTCTGCCGGGCTGGCTGGCCCCGGGCTCCCGGAGAGGAACCAGAGCCGGGTCCCAGGAAGGCTGCGCCAGGCTCGGGCAGGGGGCGGGGCTTCTGAGCCGAGAGCTGAGCCCCTGGGAGTGGCCGGGCCTGTTGCTCCGGCCCCCGACCTGTCCCTGGCGGTGACGTCAGACCAACCTGTGCTGGCCCTGTGACACGCCGTTATTCGGCCCTGGACCGGTCACTCAAACTATCGCCACCCCAGTGTTCTCCCCTGCAACGTCAGGCAGACGGCACGTGCCTCACAGAGACACGCGCGTTCGTTCACGTGAAACCCTTTGGAGGCAGATCCGGCAGAGCGCTCCGTGGGGTCCGCAGCCGCCGGTGGGCGGTGTTGCTGTGACTGGTATCTCCGCTGTTGCGTTCTCACAAAGCTGCCTCTGCCCTCCGGGGGGCGCTCCGAGCACCCTGCCTCCTGCTCCAGCTCAGGGGTGTCGGCCGGGGCCAGGGTGGAGGGCTGACCAGGGCTTTCCCTCCCCCGTCCTGGCAGGATCCGGCCGCAGCTGTCAAAGGAGAAAATTGAGGGCTGTCACATCTGCACCTCCGTCACCCCGGGCGAGCCCCAGGTGCTTCTGGGGAAGGACAAGGCCTTCACCTACGACTTCGTCTTTGACCTGGACACCTGGCAGGAGCATGTCTATGCGACCTGCGTGCGCAGACTTGTCGAGGGCTGCTTCGAGGGCTACAATGCCACCGTGCTGGCCTATGGGCAGGTGAGCCTCCGCCCCCGCGGCCGCGCCTGCCCTGCTGTCCCCCGACGGGCGAGAGCCCCGCCTGAGAGCCACTGAGGTGCGCCGCGGGTGTGTGTGTGTCTGTCCTCTGAGGACGGCGCAGCGGGGGCTGCCGGCCACCGTGCCGGCCCCGGGGTGGGGCTTTGAGACCATCCCGGGGCGGGGCCTGGGCTGGGAGGTCACAGCGAGGGAATCGAGAGGGGAGCGCTGGCTAGCCCGTCCCTCCATCCTCGCGCGCAGACGGGGGCGGGGAAGACGTACACCATGGGTACCGGCTTCGACACGGTGACGGCCGAGGAGGAGCAGGGCATCATCCCGCGGGCCATTGCGCACCTGTTCGGGGGCATCGCCGAGCGCAAGCAGCGGGCACAGGAGCAGGGCGTGGCTGAGCCGGAGTTCAAAGTCAGCGCTCAGTTCCTGGAGGTACGGTGGCCTCGCGGGGTGGGCGGGAGGGACACCTGGGGACCGGGAGACCGTGGCAGCTGGCTGTCCTCCGGGGCAGGGGATGAGGCTGGGGAGCCGTGGAGGCGTCTGTAGGTGATGAGTTTCTCCACTGCTGGAAGCATCCGAGGGAGACCTGGAAGGCCGCTGGGTGGCCCCGCAGAGGGGCCGCCCCCTTTCTGAGCCAGGCAGCTCCGCTTCTCAGCATCCGATACCCCAGCCCAGAGACCCCCTGGCCTGCAGGCCCGCCCCGCGGCCCTGTGCCCTGCTGTGTCCGGGTTGCTCTCCGGGGGTGGGGGGGTGCTCTCGTCACCGTGCCCAGCCCCGCCCCCCGCCCCACCGCTGTCTCCGGACAACGGCCTCCTCGGTCTCGTGAGCACGCAGGGCGGCTGCCATTCCCTTGGGGGACCCTGTAGGGTTTTGCTTTGTTGTTTGTTTTCTTGTCCTTCCGGACGTTAGGATACAGTGACCGCCTCTGTGTGTGCCTGTCTGTCTTTCCTGCTGCTGTGAATCTATATAAACTCATCTCTTCGTTTTCCCCCTTTCTCCGTCCCCGTCCTGCCATGGAGATGCCCAACGGGCAGGCCATTTCATAGAAAACCCACGTCCAAGGGTGAACCACCAGGGGTTAAACAATGCCACGTCCGTCCCAACAGACAGACACTGCGCACCCACCTCTGCACCAGCCCCCTTCTGTTTCCTCTTCCCCTTCCTGTGGGTGTCCCTGTCTCCATAAGGCCACCAAAGCCTCAGACGTCCGAGCTCGGCAGCCTGCCCCTGCCCCGCAGGCCTCTGCTGGCTGCTGTCCCAGCGGCCCGGTCCCTCTTCCCGCCCCAGCCCAGCGCCCTTCCACAGGCGACGTTCCCCTGCCAGCGGTTCCGGACGCTGGTACGTCCGAGGCCGAGGCCCTCTGCAACGGGCGGACGGCGCCCGGCCGGGCCCTCAGCCTGAGGCTGGGCCTCTTTGTGTCCTGAGCGTCGGGCGCACAGACATGTGCCTCCTGCTGCGAGGTGGTCATCGCCTGGACCCCCAGGGTCCGTCCAGACCAGGGGCTGCCGCCACGCTCCCCAGCTGGCTCTGCTTCCCCTCCCAGATCTGGGACCACGTCCCCCCACCCCACCTCGCCCCGGTGGTCACATCATAGGACTTGCCCAAATCACGGGCATCTCCTCATCTACATGCAGGCCCCGAGTCCGCCTGTTCCCTTTGGGTCCCCAGCGCTCTGCCGTAACTGCGGGGGGTCGGTAGCCTCAGCGCGGTCCTACCCAGGGCCCAGCCGCCCCCGCCCCCCCAACCCCGTCCAGGGGAAAGGCGGTGCCGCCGGAGCCAGGAGCCAGAGGGGACCGGTGCTGGCCAGTGCACCGCCCTGAGCCTCAGCGGCCACGTCTGAAGAGCGGAGCGGGTTTCCAGACAGGACAAGGTCCCGGGGCCCCCCAAGCCTAGCCACTGTCCCCTCCCCCCACAGCTCTACAACGAGGAGATCCTGGACCTGTTCGATGGCACCCGGGACCCCGACGCCCGCCACCGCAGGTCCAACATCAAGATCCACGAGGACGCGAACGGTGGCATCTACACCACAGGCGTCACCTCCCGCCTCATCAACTCCCAGGAGGAGGTGGGTGGGCGTGAGGCGTTGGAGGAAGGGCGGCTGGGGCAGGCAGGGGCGGCGCCCGGGCCGGCCGCCCGCCCTCACGCCCGCCTCCCTGCAGCTGATCCAGTGCCTGCGGCAGGGCGCCCTGTCCCGCACCACAGCCAGCACCCAGATGAACGTGCAGAGCTCCCGTTCGCACGCCATCTTCACCATCCACGTCTGCCAGATGCGCGTCTGCGCCCAGCCCGAGCCGGTAAGGAGCCCCGGGGCCCGGGACGGGGGGCGGCGCCGGGAGCAGCGGGGGCACGGGAGCCCTGAGCCAGCGGCCGCCTTCTGCTGCAGGTGGCGGAGGTGGTGACCGGGCTCCCGGAGGGCGCCGCTCCCAGGAGGGAGTATGAGACGCTCACAGCCAAGTTTCACTTCGTGGACCTGGCCGGCTCTGAGCGGCTGAAGCGGACGGGGGCCACCGGCGAGCGGGCCAAGGAGGGCATCTCCATCAACTGCGGCCTGGTAGGCGCGGGGCTGGAGGGGCGGCGGCGGCGGGGCGGTGCCGGCCCTCCCAGCGCCTCTCCAGCGCCGGGCTCTGTCCTCGCAGCTGGCTTTGGGCAACGTGATCAGTGCCTTGGGGGACCAGAGCAAGAAGGTGGTCCACGTGCCCTACAGGGACTCCAAGCTCACCCGGCTCCTCCAGGACTCGCTCGGGGGCAACAGGTACCCGCCGGCACCCCCGGAGGGACGGGGGCAGAGCGTCCCCGGGAGCAGGGTGTGAGGGTTTGAGTGTGAAGGCCGCAGGGGCAAGGAGACCTCCCCACTCTGGGCTGCGTGGGGCGCAGGCGCCTTGAGATGCCTCGAGGCCTTTGGCCAATATGGTGGGACTCGGCGTCCTCACCTGCACACCGTGGGGAACGGTCCTGAAGGAAGTGACGGAGCCCGGGCAGGGTAAGAGGTGGGAGCTAGTACGGAGGAGCAGGGCCGGCGCTCGGCCGCTGACCCGGCACAGTCTCGCTGCGCGGTGGGTGATCTGGATCCCCGCCTCCCGAGATCTGCCCGGGTCCTTGGGCGTTGCCGCGGAGGGGGTGAGGGGGAGCAGGAGCGCTGCCCCAAGGCAACGTCCCTGGAGGCCGGCTGGGCCCCTGGAGCCTCACTCGGCCCTCCCGCACCCCAGCCAGACCATCATGATCGCCTGTGTGAGCCCTTCGGACCGGGACTTCATGGAGACGCTCAACACACTCAAATATGCCAACCGGGCCCGAAACATCAAGAACAAGGTGGTGGTGAACCAGGACAAGACCAGCCAGCAGATCAGCGCGCTGCGAGCCGAGATCGCGCGGCTGCAGATGGAGCTCATGGAGTACAAGGCGGTGAGCTCGCTGGGCGCGGGTCTCGCGATGGGTGGGCGCTCTGCGGGCGTCTGCCTGTCTGTCCCGTTAACCGGAGGTGTCTCCCAGGCTGCAGCACCGAAGGAGAATAGTGGGTGGGCCACAGGAGTCATCCACTGTGCTGGCGGCAGGACAGGCAGAGGAGGGTGTTGGCCCTACTTCCTCAGGTGGTCAGGGAGGACTTCTTGGAGGAGGATTACCTGGAATTTGCAGAATGAAGGGGATATCAGCAAAAGCACGTGGAGCAGGCATTGTAGGATGGGCACACGCCATGCGCGGGCAAGAGATGGAAACATGGGTGTCTGGGGGACGTGCCCAGCTCCACATGACCAAGGTGGGCGGCCCTGGCTGGAGGCCCATGGCCTGCTGTTGTCTGCGCGTGGGGTTTGGCTTGACTGGCCCCTGATTTTGGAAGAATATGACTTGGTCTCCGTTTTTGTTTTAAGTCGGGTAGTTTCCGTTTCTCTTTAAACATTTGAAGCCGTCCCTGCACAGGGCGCGGAGCTGGCTGGGGGCGCGGAGCGGCTGCCCCTCTCGGGCCGAGCGCGGGACTCTGTTTGCCCTGGCGCCCGCCACTCCCTGCTGTCGCACACCCAGATGGACATCCTCATTTACACCGCCTGCCCGGACCCCCAGGGCTTGACCCGGGGGTGAGAGTGCGTGGAGGCAGGAAGGCGACTGGTGGGGAGCCGGTCGAGGCCGCCCTGTGGGACTTTTCTGCTGTCCGGGAGCCGCGCAGGGTTTCCGAGCGGGGGACGCAGGGGCGGGGTCCTAGGAGCCGTGGGGCGGGGCCGCAGCACCCGGCCCCTCCCCTGCCGGGCCGGCCCCTGACCGCGCCCCGCCCCCCCAGGGCAAGAGGGTGATTGGGGAGGACGGCAGCGAGGGCTACAGCGACCTGTTCCGGGAGAACGCGATGCTGCAGAAGGAGAACGGGGCCCTGCGCCTGCGCGTGAAGGCCATGCAGGAGGCCATCGACGCCATCAACAGCCGCGTCACCCAGCTCATGAGCCAGGAGGCCAGCCTGCTGCTGGCCAAGGCCGGTGCGTCCTGGGCGGCCAGGAGCGGGGCGGGCTGGGCCGGCCGCGCGGCTGGCAGATCCCTTCCTTCGCGCGTCTCTGCGGTCGGCCGTGACCTCTTTCGTGAAGGGCAAGCACACGGGAAGCGGAGGGTCAGCCCTGTCTCCCCGCGGTCTCCTCCCCGCCATCGCTGCCCGCCTTCCCCGCCGCCCCCGGGCGGGCGTGCACCCTGCACACCCGCGCTGGTGCAGACACAGCCTTGCCTTTCCTGCACGGGAGGCCACACGCCCCATGACTTCCCCTTTCCGCCTGGCCTTGCGCTTTGAAAGCCTCCGCACGGCCTACTGCTTGTCAGCAGGCCGGTTCTGCCTGCGGCGCTGATGAACCAGGCCGGGCGACCGCCCTCTCTGGAGGGACCCTTGGCTGTGTCCGCGGTCTCGCTGTGACGGACGTGCCTGGTCGGTCAGACCTGTGCCCAGGACAAGCCTTTCTCTGACATGGGTCCCTCTTTCGAAAAGCCCCGTGCGGGCGGCCCGGCTGGGGGCGCAGGTGCAAGGCCTCCGGTTCGGAGCTGAAGGGCCCCCTGTGACTTCTCCCCGCAGGTGACAGCAACGAGGCCATCGGCGCGCTGATCCAGAGCTACATCCGGGAGATCGAGGAGCTGCGGTGCGTGCGCCGGGCACGCCCGGGACGGCCGGGGGCCCCCGCCGGGCAGGGCCCCGGCTGACACGGCCCGCCCGCTGCCTCCCCGCAGGACGAAGCTGCTGGAGAGCGAGGCCATGAACGAGTCCCTGCGTCGCAGCCTCTCCCGGGCCTCATCGCGGGGCCCCTGCTCCCTGGGGGCCTCTCCGGCCGCTCCGGGCTTCGGCGGCAGCCCCGCCAGCTCCCTGGAGGACGCCTCCGAGGTCATCCGCCGGGCCAAGCAGGACCTGGAGCGCCTCAAGAAGAAGGAAATCCGGCAGCGGAGAAAGAGGCGAGAGAGCGCGGCGCCCCGGGCGCCCTGGGGGTCTCCCTGGGTGGCCCCCCGGGAGCACACTGCCCAGGGCTCCCCGGCGACTCACTGAGCGAACGGCCCTCGGCTTTTGGGCAGAGCCCCCCCTTTCCTGCTGCCGCGTCCCCCAGGAGAGGGAGGGTGGGCCCCTAACCCTGCCTGCCCTTCGCTCCTGTGCAGCCCAGAGAAGGAGGCCTTCAAAAAGAGGGCGAAACTCCAACAGGAAAACAGCGAGGAGACGGACGAGAATGAAGACAACGAGGTGGAGGAGGTGAGCCCGCTTGCCTTGTCCCTCCTCCTGCTCCCGCCTTCCTGCCGGTGGGGGGTGGGGAGGTTCCCCCTCGCCTCTCTGTGCACCTCCTGGCAGGGGCAGGGCTGGGCCTGCCTCCTGCTAGGCTGCCCGGGTACCATGGGGATCTCCGTGCCTCAGTCTCCCATCTCATCCCAGGCTCTGCCCAGGCTGCGGGGGGCTGGGCGGTTCTCTTCCAGGGGTGGGGTGGGCACAGGGGCCCCGGCTGGGACCGTCCTGCTCCCCGCCCGCCTGACCCACCTGCTGTGTGGTTCGCCGGGCCTCTGCTCCTGGGCGCCCTCCCCCTGAGGCCGGGCCCAGCTCGTGGGGGTCAGCCCACCCTGACGGCGTTCGCTGCCCAGGAGGAGGAGGAGCCAGACGAGAGCGGCTGTGAAGAGGAGGAAGGGCGTGAGGACGAGGACGAGGACTCGGGCAGCGACGAGAGCCTGGCAGACTCGGACTCGGACGCCGAGGGGAAGGGTGCGTGCGCCGGCCGGGGCCGCGAGCCGCACGGGGGCCTCCTGGCTGGCAGAGTCGGAGCCGCTGCCCCCAGGGTGGGGCCGGCCCTGCGTCCTCAGTTCTCAGGGACGGTGGGTGTCCAGGGCCTAGAACCTCGGACGGGAAACCAGGGACCAGAGCAGCAGCGGCGCCCGCCAGCGCTCCCGCCCGCCGCGCTCCGTGCCGAGCCTGGTGCCTCGGCGGCCTGGCTCACCGGCCCTCCCGCCCTCCCCGGGCGAGCGGTTGGGGGCTCTCCCCGTGCTCCCAGGGAGGGCAAGCTCAGCAGAGCCCGGGGTCCCCGCGGTGCGGTCGCTGCGGGCTGGCCCTCCACGGCAGGTCCGGCTGGTGCTGCAGCCCCCTCCACGGGGGACGCCGGCTCCCTCCGCTCTGCCCGGCTGCCGTCTCAGACCCAGGGCCCCGCAGGGCGCTCCCAGTTCCCTCTCCCGCCCCCTGAGTCCTCCAGACAGGAAGACAGTGGCCTCGGGGCCGGAGCAGGGGATGCCGGGACCTCCCACCCAGCCCTGCATTTCGGGGGCTGCTCTTAACCGTGCGTTCCCATCGGGCAGCACATGCTCACTGTGCGGCTTGTCATTCCCTCCAGCCCCGGGTCACTGCCCGGGGGTGGCTGACCGGAGGAAAGCCGCGGGCCGCCGCCCGCCGCCCGCCCTGGCACCGGGGTCAGGCCGGGTGGTCTCTGCCCCGCAGAGGTCAACTACCAGGCCGACCTGGCCGACTTGACGTGCGAGATCGAGATCAAGCAGAAGCTGATCGACGAGCTGGAGAACAGCCAGCGGCGGCTGCAGACGCTCAAGCACCAGTACGAGGAGAAGCTGATCCTGCTGCAGAACAAGATCAGGGACACGCAGCTGGAGCGTGACCGGGTGCTGCAGAACCTCAGTGAGTCCCCGAGTCCCCGCCCCTGCCCCGCAGGGCCCGCCCCTGTGCACAGCCCCGCCCACCCCGGGCGTCGCTGGGATTTTCCTGATTTGTGGACGGGGCTTCGTACCCTTGGCCATTGCCCAGAGTCGAGGGTTCTTCTGTCTCCCCCCCAGGTCTGTGCCACATTCTCAGTTGTTATTTTTCTACTATCATCTTAAGTACTAGAATTCTTCATATCGCCAGGGCACACAAACATGGCAGTGGCACTGTTCGACCTTTTCTCCCGCGTTCAGTTCCTGGGGGTTTCCCACCGAACCCACGCACAAGCCTTCTGCTCCCGCTCCGTCTCCCGCACGCCGCTCTTCCGCCCGCCGTTCCCTCCCTCCGCCACGTGTGCGGCACCCGTCTGTCGCGTATATATCCACCTGGTGGAGCAGACGTTGTTCTCGGGGCGGCAGATACCGGGGCGGGCGAGGTCCCTGGGGTCCTGGGGCGTGCGTTCCTGTGGCGAGGCAGGCAGGAGTAAGACGAACCAGCAGAAGCTCAGCGTGTCAGACGGCGACAAGTGTGACAGGAAGCACGCGGCAGGGAAGGAGGACAGGGGGCCGGGCGGTGGGCTGGAGTCTTAACAGGGCAGCCGTGGAAGACCCCCGAGGCGGCGGCATTGGCGCAGAGGAGGAGGGGAGCCGGGGCTCGAGCCGAGTGCGGCAGGAAGGGCATTTCCGGCCGGCGGCACAGGAGGCGCCAAGCCCCGAGGCGCGCGCACCCGCTGCTGGTGGAACGCGGAGGGCGCGGCGGCGGCGGCGGCGGCGGCGGCGGCCCCGCGTGGTGGGAGGAGACAGAAGCCAGACGGGGGGTCCGCGCGGACTGTGCGGCGGGGCCAGGACGCGGTGGGCGGTCCTGGGGAGGGCGCTGCCTTGTCCTCTGAGGGAGATGAGACGTGGGGGGCCTTTTGAGAGAAGGACGCGATGAGAATTTTAAAAGCATTTTGCAAAGACCCCTCGGGGCTGCCGTGTAGGGGAACAAACGTGGGAGCTTGAGGCCAGTTTGGGGGCTGTGACACGGGTCCGGCTTGGGCGGGGCGTGGTGACAAGCGGTCAGTTCTGGGTGAAGGGAGAAACAGGCTGTGCCGATCGGCGGGTGGGGGCCGTGGCGGGAGTGGGGAGGGCACCCCGCGAGGGGCTGCGGGGCTGGGGGCTGAGGGGGCTGTAACTCCCGGGGAGGCGCCTGCATGCAGGGGGGGTCGGGGCGCAGGTCAGCCTGCTCCCTTGGTCCGGCCCCACTGCTCGGCCTCTCTCGAACTCTAACCGTCTGGCTGGCCGGGCCCCCTCCTCCAGCCCTGGGTCAGAGCCGAGCCAGCAGGGGGCCCTCCCGGGAAGCCGGCGGCCAGGGGCTCGGTGATCTTAAGACAGAAACACCCGTCCAAGCCCGTAGCGTGCTGAGCGGAAAGGTCCTGGGGTGGCTTCCAGCCTGAGCCCTTCCTTGTCCAGATCGCAGAGGCAGGTGCAGGCAGCGGCCCCGCAGGGAGCCTCAGACCCAGCCCCCGCCCCCCCCCACCGGATGGGGCCCTGACGCTGCCCCTCTCGCCGCCCCAGGCACCATGGAGTGCTACACCGAGGAGAAGGCCAACAAGATCAAGGCCGACTACGAGAAGCGGCTCCGCGAGATGCACCGCGACCTGCAGAAGCTGCAGGCCGCGCAGAAGGAGCACGCGCGGCTGCTCAAGAACCAGTCCCGCTACGAGAGGGAGCTGAAGAAGCTGCAGGCCGAGGTGGCCGAGATGAAGAAGGCCAAGGTGGGGCCCGGGGTGGCCGGCCGCGCGCCCCGCCGCTGTCCGCGCAGACGGCCTGGCCTGTGTCGGCGCCCGGCCTGGGCCTGGGCGCTGGTCCCTGTGAACCGCCCTCCCCCAGGAGAGCGGAGGGTCTCGGGGGACCCCATGCCACGTGGCCCCCTGGGGGTGCCCCATTGCGTGTGGAGCCAGGGCTGGGCTGGTGGGCGGGCCGCTCCTTCGTCAGGTTGCCCAGGAGGGGGGCCTGGGTGGACCTTCAGTGCCGCCGGGTGGGCTGCCCGTCCCCCGCCCGGCGGCCTCACTCCCCACCGCCGCCCTGCCTGCCCCAGGTGGCCCTGATGAAGCAGATGCGTGAGGAGCAGCAGCGGCGGCGGCTGGTGGAGACCAAGAGGAACCGGGAGATCGCGCAGCTGAAGAAGGAGCACCGGCGACAGGAGGTGGGGCCCCCGGGGACCCCACGCCCTGCAGGCTCCTGGTCCGGCCCCTCGTGGCACAGAGCAGGGGCCGAGCCGCCAGCGAGGGGGTGGGAATTGGCCCAAGGCCCCCGGCCACCAGGCCGCAGTCGGGGCGGGAGGCCAGAGACGCGCCCGTGGGGAGAAGGCGGCTGCCGTGACCTCTGCCGCCCAGCCCTGAGCGGGGACCCTCTCCTCGACCCGCAGTTCCAGATCCGAGCCCTGGAGTCCCAGAAGCGGCAGCAGGAGCTGGTCCTGAGGCGGAAGACCCAGGAGGTGGGCGAGGCGCCTGCCTGAGGACCCCCCCGCCCACCCCCCTGCCCTGACCCCTCCGGCGAGCGGCCGGGGCGGCTGAGGCGGGAGAGCAGGCCGCAGGCGCTGGCCCCGATGCCTTGCTGTTAGCTCTTCTTTAAAAGGGTAGACGTCTCCTTTGCGTTCATTTCCTAACACAGAGGGGCCCCTTCTCGGCCCCAAGCCCCGGCCAGGACGGAGGGCGGCCCTGACCCTCGGGGCGCTTCCTGGGCTCTGTGTGCCCTGCTCACTGGGCCCCGCCTCCTGTGGCCCCAGGTGTCCGCCCTGAGGCGCCTGGCCAAGCCCATGTCTGACCGGGTGGCCGGGCGCGTGGGGCCGAAGCCGCCCATGCTGGACTCGGGGGCCGAGGTGTCGGCCAGCACCTCGTCGGAGGCTGAGTCGGGGGCCCGCTCGGTCTCCACCATCGTGCGCCAGTGGAACCGAAAAATCAACCACTTCCTGGGGGACCACCCCGCCTCCAGCGTCCACGGCGCCCGCCCTGCCAGGTGAGCTGGGCGGGCCGTACCTGGGCCCGGAGATGGGGGCGCGGCCGGGGGAGAGGAGCCCAGGGAAGTCGGCTCCAGGCGAGGGTCACCCCCAGCCCCGCTCACCTCTGGGTCCAGAAAGAAGCTCCAGAAGAAGGGCACCAGCCAGAGCTACAGCAAGGCCGCGCGGCTCAAGTGGCAGTCGCTGGAGCGGAGGATCATCGACATCGTCATGCAGCGGATGACCATCGTCAACCTGGAGGCCGACATGGAGCGGCTCATCAAGGTGGGCGCCGGCCCGCCTCCCCGCCCCCGTCCCCGGGGGCCCAAGAAGCCGGGGTCCGGGGGTGGGGGCAGCTGTGGGTGGGGCCGAACAGCATCCTGAGCCCCGCCCCCGCCCCCAGAAAAGGGAGGAGCTGTCCCACCTGCAGGAGGCGCTGCGGCGGAGGCGGGAGCGGCTGCAGGCCGAGAGCCCAGAGGACAAGGCGCTGCAGGAGCTGGCCGAGGAGATGGAGGTGCTGGCGGCCAACATCGACTACGTCAACGACAGCATCTCCGACTGCCAGGCCACCATCGTGCAGCTGGAGGAGACCAAGGTGCCGCAGGCGGGGGCCGGGGGGAGGCGGGGGCGGGGGCAGGGGTGGCCTGCTGACCGCAGCTGTCGGCCCCTGCTCCCAGGAGGAGCTGGACTCCACAGACACGTCGGTGGTCATCAGTTCCTGCTCCCTGGCCGAGGCCCGCCTCCTGCTGGACAACTTCCTCAAGGCGTCCATTGACAAGGTGGGCGCAGCTCGCCTCCGGGGCGGGGTCCCCCGGCCCGGCCCCGCCCCGCCCCTCTGGCCGGCGCCACCGACAGGCTCGGGCAGGCAGGAGAACCGAGCCGATGACACGCCACGCCTGTGGCTTGCTTCGTGGCTTTAACGAGATGACGCTCACAAGGGGCTTGGCCTGGCGCCTGGCTCACGGCGGGGCCTCCGTTCAAGGGGCCCGGAGTACCGGCCCAGGCCCACCCAGAGCCGAGCTGGGCCGGCCTCTGCCAGGGGCTGAGGGCAAGGGTGTGTGTGCGCGCTGGGGCGGAGCAGTGAGGCGGACGATTGGGCGGATGGGCCGCATTCTGCCCAGGAGGGTTCAGGCTGGGACATCGGGTGCTCCTCTCCTTCCTGCTGGGCAGAGAGCCCGGCAGAGGCTGCGCCTCCTTGCCCGGCGCTGCGGTCCTCGGGGATGGGCACTGCCTGGCACGGTGCAGCTCTAGATGGGCCAGAAGCCTGCCCTCCCGGCTCCACGCCGGTTCCCAGTGAGCTCTCAGCTCGGCTTTGTGTCTTCGGGGACCGAGTGACTTAGCGGGGCTGGTGGCCTGAACCACAGAGATTTAGCCCCTCCCAGCCCCGGAGGCCAGGTGTCTGGGGTCAGGGCAGGGCCGGCTCCCTGTGGGGCCTCCTCCTCGGCCTGTGGACGGCCGTCTCCTCCCTCCACTGGCCGTCCTTGTGGGTGTCTAATCCCCTCGCCTTAGAAGGACACCGGTCACGTAGCTCAGCGGCCGCCCTGAAGACCCCCTCTCTGCACAGCCCCGCTCTGAGGGCCTGGGGTCACAGTGTCAGCCTATGAACTTTGGGGGGCACACTTCTGTCCGTAACAGGAGTGTGTCTCAGGTGACCTCCGCAAGTGTGGGCGGCAGCGGGGAGTTACAAGTGCACCTCAGGCCTGTGGCAGGCTCAGGGTGGTGTCTGGAGTTCTGGGGGGCCCTCCAGGGTGTCTCAGAGGGAGCAGGTGGGGTGAGGGCCGCGACGGGGTGCCCACGGCCCCAGGCCGGGAGGGGTCACTGGGCCCGGCTCCCGCCCTCAGGGGCTGCAGGTGGCCCAGAAGGAGGCCCAGATCCGGCTGCTGGAGGGGCGGCTGAGGCAGACGGACATCGCAGGCTCCTCCCAGAACCACCTGCTCCTGGACGCTCTGCGCGAGAAGGCGGAGGCCCACCCCGAGCTCCAGGCCCTCATCCACAACGTGCAGCAGGGTATGCGGGCCGGGGGCGGGCCCGGCCTCGAGGTTCCCGGGCTCCCCGTTCTGACCCCGGGGCCCTCGCCCGCTGAGGACTCCATCCCCAGCTGATCCCGGCGGGCGAGACGCGGGAGGGAGGCCTCCCTTGGGGGCCTCTCACGTCCTGACCCCTGCTTCCCTCCCCCGCCCCCAGAGAACGGCTACGCCAGCACAGATGAGGAGGTCTCAGAGTTCTCCGAGGGCAGGTGAGGCCCCGTGGCGTCGGGAGCGAGCCAGCTCCGTGCGCGTCCGGCACCGGGGGTGGGGGGAGCCCCAGGGTCCAGGACCGAGCCTGGGTCCCAGAGCACCCAGGGGCGGGCTCACAAGGTCCTGCCTCCCTCTGCTTCTTCCTTAGCTTCTCACAGTCATTCACCATGAAAGGTTCCACCAGCCACGATGATTTCAAGTTCAAGGTGAGCCCCCTCGGGAGGCAGGCGCAGTGCGGAGGGCCCGGCCCCGCCTCCCACAGCTCTGTCTCCACCCCCAGCCCGGCCCAGTGTTGCCCCAGCTGGGGTGGAGGTCCAGGGGGGAGCTAGCCTGGGATTGGGGGGCAGTGGGGAGGTGTGTGACCTGACACAGCCCGTTCTTTCTGGAGTGCGTGGAAGATGAGAGAAGTGACCGGAGCCACTGACTGGTGGCATCGCCGTAGCCCGGGTCCCCACTTTCAAAACCTCCCTCTCCCCACCCAGACGGGAGTCAGAGTTGGACTCGATCTCTGGTTCCTGTGCGTGCGGAGGGTCGGCCACCAGTAGGGGTCAGCAGCGAGCGCCCAGCAGCGAGGGGGCTCGAACCAAGAGACAGGCTCCAGAGCGGGGCCCGTGCGGAGCGGGGTGCACCGGCCAGCTGGGGGGCGCAGAGGCCCGCCGGGCGTGCTGCTCTCGCGGCGCGGGGGAGGGCAGGAGACCCGTTTCTGCGGCTTTGAACCGTCCCGGAGCCTTGAGAGACGGGCCCCGGGAGACCCCTGGTGCGTCCCAGCTGGGCTCCTCTGCTTCCGGCCCAGGCCGCACGCCCCCCCCGCCCCCGGCCCGTGCCTTCCTGGCCGTGTGCCACCCCCGCAGGAAGTTGGTCCACCCTGGCGCTTCCTTTCCAGGGGGAGCCCAAGCTGTCGGCCCAGATAAAGGCCGTGTCGGCCGAGTGCCTGGGGCCCCCGCTGGACGTCTCCACCAAGAACATCACCAAGTCGCTGGCCTCGCTGGTGGAGATCACAGAGGACGGCGCGGGCTTCTCCGTCCGAGACCCCTACTTCCGGGACAAGGTCTCGCGCACCGTCAGCCTGCCCACCAGAGGCAGCACCTTGTAAGGAGGGCAGCCGGGCGGCGGCCGGGGGGACGGGGCCGGGCCGGGCCGGGCCTCACGGGCCTCTCTCTTCCAGCCCCCGCCAGTCCCGAGGCGCCGACACGTCCCCCCTGACCCGGAGGAAGTCGTACGACCGGGGGCAGCCCGCCAGGTGAGAGCGAGCGCCAGACCCCACGGGACCTGGGCAGGCCGGGCCAGACAGAGCCACTCGCCCCCCGCCAGGCGATGTGGGCTCGGGATGCGTGACCTCCAAAATCGCCTGGAACTGGGGGCGGCGGGGGGCGGGCCGCGGCTAACATCGCAAGCGCTGTGCGCGCCGTGCCGGTGGGTTGTCGTTGCCCGGAGGGACTGCAGCCCCTTCAGGCTCTCGTCATGTGAGGGGGGTTGAGAAATTGAAGGACAAGCCACAGAGGTGACAGCAGGGCGGCGAGGTCCCCGGCGGGCCAGCTGCTCCCTGGCCCCGCCCCGTGGAGCCTCTGCAGAAAACGGCCCACGCCTCGGCGGGTCCTCTGGTCTGTCCCTGGATTTTCAGGGATGTCAGGTGGCCGTCCCAGGTCACAAGCTGGGGAGTGGAAGGGCAGAGCCGCGGGACGTCCCTTGCCGCCGCCCGGCAGGGAGGCAGGCAGACTTACGCCTGCTCCGGTGGCCCCCGGCCAGCGCCTCACAGGGCGGCCGTGGGTTGGGGGGTGGCAAGGGAGTCTGCTGCCGCTTCCCCGTGAACTGTGAGCAAATTGCGACCTGAGGGACCGAGGCCCAACTTGTGGGGACCCTCCAGAGGGAGGCGCCCTGGGGCATCGGAATGGGGCCCTGCAGCCGATTCTCGTCGTGCGCGGTAGTTCTGTCCCGGAGACCCAGTTAGCAACGCCGAGTCATTGTCGTTCCTGGGGAAATACAGGCAGAGGCTCCCAGGGCCTCTGGTCACAGCCTTTTCGTCAGCCGGTCAACGCGCACCCTCGTTTCGGGGGCTCCTGTTTAAGGGCGCTTTATTACCATGCGTCCTTGATTCCTTAACGCGGACCTCGCACTCGGGCCAACACACGGGCTTTCTCCGGGAGGCCGGCACAGCCCCTCCCTCCCAGGAACACGGCGCTTCCGCTTCGGCGCCACGCTGGGGCCTTTTAAGCAGGAACCGCCGGCAAAAGGCACCGAAGTGCACAAGCCGTGTGCTGAGTAGACCGCAGACGGCCGCGTGCTGGCAGCGTGCGCGGAAGCCACGGGCAGAGGGAGCGACCGCGCTGGCCTCCGCCGGCAGGCAGAGTGGCCGGGCACTCGGATGTTTCACGGCCGCCCTCTCGTCTGCGACGACCACAAGAGCGCCGCAGGGGCACCTCGAGCGCACTCCTGCAAACGCGTTTCAGCGAGGGGGCAGAGCGCAGGCTCCCCGCGCGCGCGCGCCTGAGAGCCGGGCTCCGGGCCAGGGTGGGGTCCCTCACGGATGCCGCCCTCTGTCCCCACTCGCCAGGTCCACAGACGTGGGGTTCACGCCCCCCTCGTCCCCTCCCACACGGCCACGCAATGATCGCAACGTCTTCTCCCGCCTCACCAGCCATCAGAGCCAGGGGTCGGCACTGGACAAGTAAGAGCCAGGCGCCCGGGGAGGGCTCTTCGGGGGAGGGGAGGCTGGGGCGGCCCCTCTCCTGGCCTTCTCTGCCCTTCCTGTCCTGACCTTGGACCCTTCTGTTCCCGGAGCGAGCGGGGACCTTGGGCGAGAGTGAGCTGAAAGCCACAGGGTCGGCAGCGACGCTCCAGCCCCGGAGGTGCCCCCAGAATGGCCCTCGAAGCCTCCTCGGCCGAGGCCTTGATTCTGTGACGCCCCTGCCCCAGGTTCAGCCAGCCCCCCACCCCGCAAAGGCTCGGGGGGGCCGAGGAAGGCCCCCGATCGCCTTCTGTGGCCAGTCAGCTCAGCCCACAGGGGCCGCGCCTGCTGGTGTGGCGGGCGTTGATGGCACTCCCGCGTGGCGCTTGTTTTCACACGCGCGATTTCACCTGAGCCGTCAATCCGCTGTGGGGGTTGTCGACCCTGCTCTACAGAACAGGACGTGAGGCCCAAGCAGGCCCGAGGCACCCCCTAGAAAGTGCCGGCGCTGGGCAGGGGACCTGGGGCTGTGACCCGCGCCGGCGTGTGTCCCTCACAGGGGACTCGGCCTGGGGAACGGGGACCTGTCCCCCGCGAGTCCCTCTTAGTGCTCCCTGTGGGCCCTGCCCTGGGCTCTCCTGAGAGTGGGCAGGACGGAGCGGCCCTGCAGGCTAGAAAGTGCCCGTCCCCGCTGCACCGGCGCCGGACGTCAGCCACAGGAATGCCCCTTCCTCGGCCCGCATCGGCTCCCCCCAGCCCACCTGGCTCCGGCTCCGGCTCCGGCTCCGGCTGCGGGGAGTGTGCCGAGCCTGGCCCACGCCGGCCAGGGCACCCCGCGGGCCTTCACAGTCGCCAGGCCCCTTTCTCAGCAGCAGGAGGATGGGTCCCTCGCCGTCCCAGCCTGGCGGCCAGTCGCCCAGGCCGCGGCCCCGGCCCGGGGTGCAGGCCTCAGGGCTCATGCGGGGTGCACAGCCAGCTCCTAGCAGTCCCAGTGGGCTCCCCGGGGACGGCAGGCCCCCGCACTGCCCGCTGGGGTGGGCGCCCCCGCGGCTCCCGGGGCTTACCCTCCCCGCTGATGGCGGAGGAGTGTCCCCGCCCCGGGCCGGCCGTGCCGCCTCCTGCCCTCTGCCCCTCAGCGCGCCGCCGCTCTGCTCTGCCTCTGTCTGCGCCCCCCAGAGAATAACTGCCCTCTGACCTCCGCTGCTGCCCCCGCCCCTCTGTGTCCCGCCCTCCCCCTAATCCAGCTAATTTTCTGCCCCCCAGGTCTGACGACAGCGACTCCTCCGTGTCGGAGGTCCTGAGGTACACAGACGGACGCATGCTTGTCCCCTGGTCCCGCGCTGCCCCTGCCCTCTCTCTCCTCGGCCCCTCCCGCCTGCGCGCCCCATCCTCAGCATGCGCCCGCCTCCCCGCGGCCCCTCCAGGCCCCTCCCTGCCCCCGTCCCTCCTCTCGGGGGCCGCCTGGCCTCCCATGGCGTCGCGGCTGGAGCTGGGGGCTCGGGAGGGCATGCTCGCTCGTCACAGGCTCTGCCCTCTGCTTCCTGTCACCTGGGCCGGGGCGCTGAGCCCGGAGCCCGGAGCCCGGGCCGGGTGGGGCTGGGCTCTGCCCAGGAGAGTCGGTGGCTGTGCTCAGGTCCCGGGAACTCGCTCCGTTTGTGCCGCTGTGTGCCCGCAGGGGCCTGGCCCTGGCCCCAGACCGGCAATGCCGAGCGGCCCCTCGCTCCCCCCAACCCACACAGCACCCCACACACAAGGGGCACCTCCCAGGACCCGCGCTGGGGGGGCGGAGCAAAGGGCCACGGTGGGCCGAGGGCTCCCGCCCCACTCTCCCCCCGACCCCCTCTCCTGACGCGCCGCTCGCCAAGGGGGATTTGCTCTGTAACAGCCACCTCAGCTCCTTCCCGGCCACCGGCTGGGCCCAGCGTGGGGTCAGAAGCAGGGAGCTGGGGCGTGGTGGGGGGTCCCCGGCTGGCAGCGTGGCCTGGCTGAGGGCATTCTCGGCAGCGGGGGGGGGGGTGCGCCTGACTGCACCCCTGGGGCCCTGAGCAGCCTGCAGGTGGCACAAGGGTCCGGCTGCTACCGTGTTCCGGTCGGGGGCCGTATTCTCTTTGGAGAAGAGCTAGAGTGTGTTTTCAGACAGGCCTTGTGCCCACGAGACCCTCCCTGAGAACAAGCCTCTGCCCCGGCGTCCGCCGGAGGCTGGTGCAGGGACTGTGGGGCCCAGACCCCCTGAGCCCCGCGCTGAGCCCTGGACCCCTAAAGGGATCCGTGTAAATGACTGTCTCAGTCCTGCCGCGCCGGTCCCAGGCACCGTGGGGGGTGCGCGTGTGCGTGAACCTCTCTGCGCGGGGCGCGCCAGCTGAGGCAGCCACTGGCAGACGGGCGTGCTGGGCCGGGTGCGGACTCGGGGGCGACCCAAGCGCCCGCCCTGTGCGCCCCTCACCGGCCTGCGCTACCCGGAGCGGCATGGGGGAGCCGTGGGGTGCAGGGCGCCCAGGCCTGGGGATCCGCTCGGGCGGGCGTCAGTGGGAGCTCCGCCCCCCGGGAGCGCGGAGGATGGGGTCCCGACCTGCCCGGCACCGTCTTCCCTCCCTCAGGCCGCTGGCCCTGGCCGGCGTCTCCGGAGTCTCCTCCGTGGGACCCGGCCCCCTCCGCCCGCCCCCTCTCAACCCGGCGCGCTGCCCTGGCTGACGGCTGACCGCTGCCTTCTCTCCCTCTGTCCTGGAAGGGGCATCATCTCGCCAGTGGGAGGAGCCAAGGGCGGGCGGACGGCCCCGCTGCAGTGCGTCTCCACGGCCGAGGGCCACACCAAGCCTGTCCTCTGCCTGGACGCTACGGACGAGCTGCTCTTCACGGGCTCCAAAGGTGGGTGGCCCGCAGGCCGGCCAGGCAGGGCCCGTGCCGCCCCCAGGACTTGAGGACGCGGGGCCGCTTGCTCACCAGCTGGCCTGGCGCCTCCTGCCTTGGCTCCAGGCTCCCTTCCTGGCCGAGCCGGGGGCCTCCATCCAGCACTTCCTCCCAAACCTTCCTGGGAACCCAAGGGAGCACCTCGGTGGCCAGCTCCCCTGCTCAGCCCGGTCCCCCACCCCACGACCCCGCCTGCGGCCGGGCTGCAGGACCCCGCAGAGTCGCTGCTCCTGGTCCCGACAGACTCGGGAAAGCGTTAGCCGCAGACAGGACCCTCGTGCGGCCCTCGGCCTCGCTGTGATTAGCAGAGTCCAGGTTCCCCCCGTAAGATGTGCCCGCCGTGTCTTCCCTAACACGCTGGGGAGCGGGCACGAGCTCAGCCCCAGCCGCCCCACCGCGGGCGCTGCCGTGGCCCCAGCCAGCCCGGCCTCCAGCTCCGAGCCACAGCCCCCGGACCTGGAGTGCAGTCCGGCCTCGGGTCCGCTGTCCCTGGTGCTGACGCCGCCCCTGCCCCCGGCTCCCCCTTCACAGACCGCAGCTGCAAGATGTGGAACCTGGTCACGGGGCAGGAGATCGCCGCCCTGAAGGGCCACCCCAACAACGTGGTCTCCATCAAGTACTGCAGCCACTCGGGGCTTGTGTTCTCCGTGTCCGCCGCCTACATCAAGGTGTGGGACATCCGGGACTCGGCCAAGTGCGTCCGGACCCTCACGTGAGTGCTCCTCCCCGTGGGGGCCCCAGGCGGCTCGGCCTGGCGCTGAGGGACCCAGGGACGCCCCTGGGCTGGGGACAGTGGCTGGGGCAGCAGGTCGGTGGAGGCTCTGGCCTGCCTGGCCACACCTTGGTCCCAGTCCCCGAGCCGGGCTTGAGCTCGAGCAGGGCACTGGGGGCGCGGGGCGAGGCCAGCAGGCGGCAGCCCCACCGTGCTGGCTGCCTGTCTGCATAGCAGGCCCGATGTGGCCCCCGCTACGCGAGCCAGCGGCCGGGCCAGGGGACACAATGAAGCTGATTCTTAGCAAAGTCACGCTTCCTCCCGCGCCTACGTTGTAAGCTATGGTCTATTGCTGAACTCGATTCTTTCAAAAGAGTGAACGGAGGGTTTTCAGGGCAGCGAGGACCCCCCGCCTGGCACTGGGAAGAGGACCTGCTCCTTCCCACAAACCCACAGCGCGTGCCGCTCCGAGCGCGGCCCCGGTGTAAACTGGGGGCTCCGGGAGGCAATGCGGGTCCACGCAGGGTCGCCAGCTGCAACCAACGTGCCGACTGGTGGGGTTATCGCCGCTGGGGGGTGGCAGGGAGCGCGTGTCGGGTCTCTGTCGCCTCTGCCCCGCTTCGCCCGGGGTGAGCGCCCAGGACGCGGCCTGGGCGTCGTCAGCCCGGTTGACAGAGGACTCGGCCTCGCTGTCTCCGGGCCACGGCTCAGGCCGACCGAAGTCCGGGCGGCTTCCGGGCCTGAGCGCTGCCCAGCCTGACCCCCGGCCTGGCCCCCCTCCGTCCGGCAGGTCCTCAGGCCAGGTGATCTCCGGGGACGCCTGCGCGGCCACGCCCACCCGTGCTGTCAGCGGCGCTCAGGGCGAGCACCCGATCAACCAGATCGCGCTCAGCCCCTCGGGCACCGCGCTGTACGCCGCCTCGGGCAACGCTGTCCGCATCTGGGAGCTCGGCAGGTCGGGGGCTGCAGGGGCTGCGGGGGCAGGGCGGGCTGGGCGCGGGAGGGCGCCGAGGCCCCTGGAGGGCGGCAGCTGCGTCCAGGGAGGAGGGGGCGTCCGTCCGGCCAGGTGCACCCCGCCCAGCGCAGACCCCCCGGCCGGGGTCCCTCTGACGCCCCTGCCCCTGCCGGGCCCCCCCCCAGGTTCCAGCCCGTCGGCAAGCTGACCGGCCACATCGGGCCCGTCATGTGCCTGACGGTCACCCAGACGGCCAGCCAGCACGACCTGGTGGTGACCGGCTCCAAGGACCACTACGTCAAGGTACCCGAGATGCCCGCCCTTTCTCCCGCCCCCACCCCCGTTGCCCAGCAGAACTCGTGAAAAATACCGTGGCCTTTAGGGGTTTGGCGAAGCGCTCGCCTCGAGAGGCCTGAGCCGTGTGCAGGAGGGGGCAGCGCTGCTTTGTAAACGGTGACAGAACAGAAACACCCTGAATGCCAAGGGTAGAGTCACAGTCGCGGAAACGAGGGCCGCCCCTCGCACGGCGTGTTAGGGCGACAAGCGTGGCCGTCACAGCGACAGTGTGGAAGGGAAGCGGGCAGGGCCCCCGCAGCCCGGGCTCTGCTGTCCCTGACTGCGTCCCTGCCGCCGCCAAGGGGCCTGGGAGAGGGTGGGACACGGGCGTCCTCCACGGCACCGGTCATGTGACGTTTACTTTATTAACATGAGTGCTGAGCTGTGGGGCCCCCCTGCGGAACCGAAGTCCACCTCCCCGCACCCCGGCCCCCGGCCCAGTGAAGGGCCCGAACCGGAGCCTCCGCCTCCTCAGCCCCCTCCCGCGGGCAGGCCGCTGAGCCTGCTGGGACCCCGGCGGCACCCGCGGTGGGCAACTCTTGGGCCTCCCCCGCTCCCCCCCCCCCCGCAGACGTTCGAGCTGGGGGAGTGCGTGGCCGGCACCATCGGCCCCACCCACAACTTCGAGCCTCCGCACTATGACGGCATCGAGTGCCTGGCCATCCACGGGGACATCCTCTTCAGCGGCTCCCGGGACAATGGCATCAAGAAGTGGGACCTGGAGCAGCAGGAGCTCATCCAGGTGGGCGACCGGGAAGGCTTTCCCCCGGCCCAGGCCGGCGCCCCCAGCCGGCCCGCCCTCCGCCCGCTCTGCCCTCCGCCCAGCCCCAGACCTGACTGTGAGGCCGGTGTCTCCCCGCTCCTGGAGCGCGTGTTCCCCCTGAGCCCTCCGAGGGCTGACCGCGCCCCTCCAGGGCCGGGTCTGGGGTTCGAGCCGGGGCCGGTCGAGGACCCTTCCCCGCGACCCGTGCTGCCTGGCGACGCGGCGGCAGGGACCCGCCCCCGCCCTCACCCGCCCGCTCCCCGCAGCAAATCCCCAACGCACACAAGGACTGGGTGTGTGCCCTGGCCTTCGCCCCGGGCCGCCCCACGCTGCTGAGTGCCTGCCGCGCGGGCGTCATCAAGGTCTGGAACGTGGACAACTTCACGCCCATCGGCGAGATCAAGGGCCACGAGAGCCCCGTCAACGCCATCTGCACCAACTCCAAGCACATCTTCACCGCCTCCAGGTGGGCGCCGCCCCGTGTGGGCAGCCGGCGGGGGGCGGGGGGCGGGGGGGCCCCGGGGCCGGGCCTCACCCAGCAGTCCCCGCCCCGCTGTCCGTGACCACAGCCAGCTCGGTCCCCGCCCGGGGGACGTCCCGGCGCCTGTCCCCCGGGGGCCGCTCACAGAGGTCTCTTCTCTTTCCTTCTCTTTCCTTCTTTGTCCTTCTCCTTCCGCACCCGCCCCTCCGCTCCCCGCCTCTCCCCCCACAGTGACTGCCGGGTGAAGCTGTGGACTTACGTCCCTGGACTCACCCCCTGCCTTCCTCGCCGGGTCCTGGCCATAAAGGGCCGTGCCACCACCCTGCCCTGACCCCGCCTCCTCTCGCCCTCCCCTCTCCCCCTCTCTCTCCACTTCGACCTGAGCTGCTTCTCCACGGTAGGAGACCATTGCTCCTCCACGCCACTCTCCTCGCCCCCTCTGAGCATGGACAGCGGGCGGCCCAGCAGAGGGGCCAGGCCGCCGGGAGCAGGGCGGGCGGCCAGGCCGGACCAGGCCAAAGAGCAGCAGGGAGGAGCCGACAGGAAAGCGCGGGCGCGGCCCCGGCCAGGCCCGGGGCTGCGGGGCAGCGGGGGTGGCGAGCCGGGCCGGGCCAGGAGCTGACCAGCCGCTCGCTGTCCTCCGCAGTGACCTAACAGTGAAGCTCTGGAGCGTCCGGCGGTTACCCAGGGGCCCTCCCTAGGCCCGAGGGCAGAGGACAGCCCCGGCCTTTGGCCCCCAGCAACCTGGACCCTACGGAAGGGATGCCGCGGCCACGGGGCCAGCGGCCCTGCGGGACAGGGTGCGGACGATGGCTGCGGCCCCTCCCCCGCTCTCCTTCCCCTCCCCGGACCTTCCCGCCGTGGACGCCCACCCGGCCCCTCCCCGGCCTCTTGGGGACGCAGAGGTGGGGGAATTTAAGCTGTGACACCGAAGGGTATTTCCCCTCTCGTTCCTCTCCTGTGACCCCCTGGCCTCCCCCCGACTCCCCAGCCCACAGCACCTGCTGCCTCTGAGCCCAAAACGTAGTTCTCAGGTAACCATGGAAACCATGCAGGCAGCTGGGCCCTTAGCCCCTTGGCCGTGAGCGCCCGTTGACCCCAGCAATTCCTGGGGTCCCTTTCAGATGAGCCAAGGCGGGGCTGCTAGAAAGATTCCTTTGGGCGGATGGTCAGACATCCTTCAGCTATTTATTTTAGTTCTCGCTCTTGCCTCCTGGAAACTGACTTGAAGTTTCTTCCACGTGTTCCGTCCCTCTGCTCTTGGGGGCCAGAGAGCCCACGAGGACCCGCCCTGCCGGCCCCCGGGGCCACCCCCCCGTGCTGCGCGGAGGAGGGAGTGCCCTGCTGGCTCTGCAGCTCCGGCCGTCCCCACAGGGCCTCCCGGGCACCCGATCTCCGCCGCCGGGCGCCCCAGTGCCTTCCTCTGTCCGTCCGTGCGCCCCAGCCCGACGCCAGCCTCACCTGGGGGTGAGCGCCGCCTGTGTCTTCTCGCGGGTGGGGTCTCACGCCCACGGCCCCCAGAAGGCGGGGTGTCCCACCCCCAGCCCAGGGCGGGGGCTGTCTCCCCGAGTCCCTCGTGGGCCACGTGGGAAGCAGCTTGCAGGACTGTGGCCAGTAGGAAGCCACTTGATAGTGAGGACGCCGCCCCCGACGGGGCTGGAATCCCTGCCCCTTCTCTCTGGTGCATATTCAGGAGACATCTCAGGCCTTAACACTGGCGTGCACCAGGCGCTCCTTCCCGGAGGGCGGCGCCGGGGGTCACCCGGCTCCCCTCCGCTTGGGGCTTGGACGCTGCCCATGTGAGTCCGGGGCCCCTGCGGGGGCAACTCCGAGTCCACGGGGCCCGACGCTCCGCCCCTCCGCACCAGCCTGCCCGCCGTTTCGAGGACCCTCCTCTGCCCCCGTGCTTCCCGCCTCAGCGTGCAGCCGGGAGCCCAGCTCTGCTCGGAGGACGGGACGTCGGGCCTTCCGGAGTGGCTCTCCCCTGCCCTGGCACCCCCTCCGCTCGGCCGGGTGTGGGAGCCTCCTCGGCATGGCCCAGGCCGAGCCGGCCCCTGAAAGGGCCCGCCTGCGCCCGCCTCTCCCCACCCTGCTCGGAGCTGCCCCCAGGCTGAGAATGCCGCACTGGGCCCGTGGCCCCGCCGGACGCAGTGGTGAAGTCGCGAGCCTGTGCTCGGGCGGGACGTGTCCTCGCGGGCCCCTGGGACCGCCTGCCTTCCACACTGGGACCTGTCTCCTCCCGCCGCCCAGGGCGCCCAGCAATGCCTTCGGGCCCATCCCCCGCCCGGCCTCTGTCCCCCTGAGCCGAAAGCTCCAGCCTGTAAGGAAGACTTGTCCGTCTACGTGACTTCACAGGCCACGGAAACATGACAGACTGTGCCCCGTCCCCTGCGCGGGGCGGCGCTGCGGCCTGCGGGGCTCCCTCCTGCCGTCCCCGATGGGCACGCTACCTCACCGCCGGCAGCTCCGCTGTCCCGGCACGTCACACTGACTTGACACTTGAAGTCCCTCGGAGCCTCTCTGAGCCGTGCCCCCTGGAGCCATGGCAGCGTCTCGGCCGCTGCTTCGGGGGGCCCAAGGTACACGGTTGGGGGCAGGCCCCCCGCCTCCTGGCACAAGCACCCCGAGTGCTGGAAGCACAGACTGTTCTGAGCACAAGGGCAGGCGGCTCCTGCCCGGCCGCTCCGGGCAGGGGCTGGAGGACGCCCTCGCGGGGGGCCGGTCCCCCTCGGGCCACCGGGGCTCGTCCTCACTCTGGTCGTCGTCCTCGTCCGGACCTGGGGCCCCCTGAGGACGCGAGGCCGTGGCCCAGAAGAAACGCCCCGTCCGTGCCCCACACCCCGAACCCTCCCTGCCTGAGCCCACGCTGGGCCCCCACGAGCCTGAACCCGCACCCCGGTCTCCTGGGCTGACCCCGGTGAATGCTTTGGAGGCCCCTTGGCCAGCTCCTGGGCGGACGCCATCCCCACACCCCTGCCCACCCTGGGCCCAGCCCCGTTCTCAGTGGTAACCGCGCCGTGTCTGCTTCCGCCGGCCGGGGCCCCCGTGGCAGCGCAGCAGCGGCCTCTGGAGGGGGCCCGGAAAGGAGGGGAGGCCACAGGCTGCGGCTGCGGCTGCGCCCCGGTCTCCTGCGACCCTTCCTGTCTGCCACCAGGGCGGCACAGCCAGGGGCTACGGTCCCTCCACCCAGCTGCCCTGGGCCCCTCTGCGGGCGAGACTGGGCTCGGGCGCCTCCCCTCCGGCTCTCAGCCCCGCCCCCGCCTTCACGGGTCTGTGCCCGGGTGCTGAGCTCCTTCCCACGGGGCCGCCCAAGCCTGCGGCCACTGCCCGCTCGCCATCCCAAACGAGAGCTGCGTGTCGCCTTCTGCCCCGGGCGCAGCCCCCGGGTCCAGGCGTAGCAGCCGGGGCCTCTGGGACCAGCCCTCTTCTGGCTCCCAGATCTTCACCCCACAACCCCGTACGAGGGAAGTTCATTTCTTCCAGGGCATCTCTGTCCTACTCCTCGCCCCCCCCCCGCCCCCCCCCCAGCACTTGATGAGCCCCAGTCCAGCCCTTGGAACCTGGGTCCCCGGGATCTTGCACAGACGTGGAAACCGCTCTGCGAGGAAGAGCCCCAGGTCGGAGAGGACCCCTGCCGTGACCCGGGGCCGCCCCCCCCCCCGCCCCTGGCCCTGCCCCCTCCCGGCCGCCCTGCGGCCTGCACAAGGTGCGCCTGTGCTCTGTGCCTCTGCCCGCGACTGTACATATGTACGAAAGGTATTTAAGCCTCACGTGTACATTTCTGGCCCCAGACTGGATGTGTGTGCGCCCTCAGAAGTCGTCCCGAATAAAACCCGAGTGACCGGCGGCGGCGGCGGTGGTGCGGTCCCTGTGCCTGCCGGCCGGAGGGGCAGCCCTCCGCGGGCGGGCGGGCGGGGCGGGCAGCATGGGGCCAACCCGGTCCCGAAGCCGCGCGGCGCGGTGCGTGTCCCCCGGGCACGGGACCCGGCTTTTCACCGGGTCATCTCGGCCCTGGGATGGGCGGGGTCCTCGTTTTCTGAAACGAGGAAACTCCGAGAGGAAGCGGCTTGTGCAGGGTCACGGCCGGTGAGGCCAGAGCGGGGTCAGAGCTGGACCCACCGCCGCGCACCCCCTCCCCCTGTCTTTAATAACGGCCAGTGGCTCCGAAGGCCCGAGGTCGCGGTGCATGTGCGGCCCGGCGCCTGCCTTCCCGCGACCCTGGAGAGGAGACACAGGACAGGAGGAGCTCACGGGAGAGAACAGCTCAGCGGTCCGGGCGCTGGCCCGCGAACTGAAAGGGCGCAGGTTCGATTCCCGGTCAGCACGCAGGCCTGGTCGTGGGCCGGGCCCCCCGGTTGGGGGTGTGCAAGAGGCAACCCATCGGTGCGTCTCTCACGCGCTGATCTTTCTCTCCCTCCCCTCTCTCTAGAAATGAAAAACACTGAAACTAAAGAAGAAACTCAGCTCCCTGCCGGCCCTGGCTCCCATTTCCCGGTCAGGGCTTCTCAGCCTTTAAAACTCAAATTCCCGTTTTCCCCGCTAACATTCTCCTGTGCTCTGACTTTTAGTCTCATTATTTTTAACATAAAAATGTTTTTAAGTCTATGAGAGGCCAGGCAGCCTGTAACACGCACTCCACCCCGAAAACAGGGAACCGTGACCCCAAAATGCAGCCACCCTCGGCCCTGTGCCATCTCGGGGACCCGCTCCTCTCCGATGACCTGGGACTGTGCTTCAGAGTTCCCTGCTCTGTGGCCCCGTGGCCCCATCCTCTAGCTTGTCACTTACTCTCAAGAAGGCACTTCCACGGCAGTTTGGGGGCTACACGATTTCTCTGGGCTCATTTCTGTCCCCCGGGAGCGTCCTGTGGCAAGAGACACCGAGTACGTGTTTAATGAGCGAGGAGATGAGGGGAAACAGGCGGCTTCCGGGGGCTGAGTCATGACATGCCACTGAACCCGAGCCTGAGGGCGCTCGCTCCCGCGGACACCCCGGCCGCCACCCCCCCCCCCCACCCGCCAGCGGCTCCCGAGATGCCGGCCCGCCCTCCGGGCAGACAGGTTGGAGCAAGGGACCGTCCCACCTCCGTCGCCTGCCAGCTGCTCTCGCATCCCGAAAACAATCGGCCTCTCTCTGCTTTGTTTTCCACACGGAAAACCGGGCGGCTTTGCCCACCCACACAGCCCTGCCCCTTACCTAGGCCGCCCTGTGGCCGCTGTCCAGCCCGGAGGAGCCGGCGTTGAGGGGGAGGGCGGGGCATCCTGTCCGCACGAGAGGGGACGGGGCGGCCGAGGGGATGCAGCGCGCAGGGCCGCCGGGCTGCCCACACCCCCGGGCCGGCACAGGTGGCTCCCCGCCCA